CAAGATTTCATTCTCTAATTGAACATCTTGGTGAATAAGGTTGAGCTGGGACAGAGAGACGGACTCAAAAGTCATCCAGTGATAGACTTGAATCTCATTCTCAAAACTAATCTTGAGTTGTAACCACTATACCATCTTCCCCTAGAAACCCAACTTTTATATTTCTAAGTGATGCATGTAGACATGCAGAGTTTAAATTAAGTACTTTACTGTATTCTGCCTATAATACAGGAATCTCCCTAGACTGCTTCCCTTCTCTTCAGAACAGATAAATAAACTTTAATGGAATTTCCTGGGGGGGGGGGGAAGAGGATGTCAGTCCTGGATCTGTTGCAGCTATGAAATGACTCATGGCTAATTCTGTACTTGATCCCTCCTTACTGAATGGCTGGGGGTCTCCCAACACTTTATTATTTATACTAATCTATACATATTAGGAAGTTCTGTTTGTAAATTGCCATGAGTCTCCTCAATTTTGTGTGAATTGGGCGGCCATATAAATTTGTTTAATTAATACATAAATAATTCAAGCAGGAACATAGATTGCAATGCAAAATCCAGATAACCATTAGATGGCAGCAAAGGAATATCAAACTTTCTGTGGGCTGACAAGAAATAATTTCTTGATGAAACAAAGATCTTTCTCTTACCTTTTGCTGAACTGCTCCTTTGGGCAATGCAGTGACTTTTTGTGGATACACTACTTCATAATCATTCACGTTCCCAGATTCCAGGATTATAGAGGTCCCTTCGTAAGGAAAAAGAAAAGAAGGTTTGGTTTACTTTGGGATGTTATTCTACCATTCTCACATCCACAAAACAATTTGTTATTCAGTTATCAGTGAAGAATGGAATCTTTTTCTAGTGGGACGCAGCACAGAAATCCAGATTTTCTCTGGGAATGCAATTTGCTGAATCATTTTTGGGAGCTGGAAATCTAACTAGAGGCATTGCTTTGGGCAGGTGCAAAAGAAACATTTTTGGAGCTTGAATAATCAGAAATAAATAAATAAAAAATCTCAACCAATCTGCAAGTTTGTGCACTGAGTGATAAGGATAACACGAGAAACTGTAAATCACAATAATCTGATTCACACAATTCAGTAAACCATACTGCATTATGGTTTAGCATATCCGTTAGTTAAAAGCTAGGCAAACTTAGCTTGTTATGCAAATGCAGCTTATTAGGAATTCCTTTCAGTTGAACTGCTATTTCACTGCCATCCTAATAGTTTTGCTGACTTTGCTTTCTTTCATTTTTAAAAGAATCTATGGACAGCGCACAGCATCATAATTATCACTGGAGCACCTAAGAACATGTAAATAATGTAGTGATTTCAGAATTAGATCAATAGCTGAACAATTTAGAGTTGGTCCCCATATGGACATTGCATGGTTACCTGATATTTGTCCCTTAATTTATTTTGTAAACATGACAGTCTGATACCTGCAGGTACTCTTGGATGTACAATCACAATTGAGACCAAAATTTGTTAGCAGATTAATGGAAGGGAAGGGGTAAAGTTGTGCTTATAGTTGCAAGTGGAAACAAAAGAATAAACTGAAATATCAATAACCACAGGGTATGGGAAAGAGACTGCTAGCCAATCACCTAGAGAATTGAGAGAGAGAGAGAGAGAGAGAGACCTGGAAATGTGTATTTTCAGACTGATGGGCAGCCCCAGACAAAAGAATACATCTTCCTCATAACTATTTATGTACTACCCATTTGTACCTGGTGCTCCCAGAATCATGGGAGGGGTTCAATTCCACCTACTAGCAAGGAAGCTTATTATTCCTCTCTTGCTTAGAGCACAGAATAAGCAACAATTTCCCTTCCATCTCCCTTTCTTCTTTCCTATATTGTTCTCCATGAATTATTGCTAGTAAGGGCATCTCCATCTTTCCTTGCTATTTTTTTAAAAAACAAACAAACAATGAAAAACCAGGGCTACCGCAGTGAGTCTATAACCCTTAATTTTTTTTGGCAACTTCTGGATCAATTGAGTATCGTTGTTTGTAATGATATGTGGGAATGACTTGGGAGACAGGAAGAAGAGCCATAGACTGGTCAACTGGCATGGAAAAAGTATCTCAGCCCACAGAAGGAAGCAGAACTTGGGAAGAATTTCAGAAGGGGACCTCCCTGGTTTTCTGCAGGGTAAAAGGAAAGGAGGGAAGAAATAATTTAAGATAATTATAAATCTTGCATCGAGAAAAGTTAGTGTCATATTATCTTGAGTACAGTTTGAAGATTCTCTGCAACCACAATAGCACTAGCTTTTGTTTGGCTGAATATTATGCATGCTAAATTACAGGATGTCTAATTGATCTACTGAAAGAAAATTAAAACCGAAAACACTTTATTTTTCTTTAACATTTTGCTTTCTGAAAAGTTCTTGCCACAAACTCTGTCTCTCTCTCTTCTTCAGTATTTGAATTCTTTTTTTAAAACTCACATTATTGAAAAACGTTCTCTCCAACTTGAACGTGCCTTTCTTCTGAAGATCTTAGGAATTTTCTTTCTTAGGATTTGCACATGGCTTGACAAAATTTAAGCAAATACCAAGAAACCATTTATGTAACTTTAGAACAAATGTGATCCTTGAGATCATTATTTTGCTAAATCTGTAGAAACTGAAGTGGACCAAATTGTGGTTAATTGTCAAAAATAAAACCCAAAACAAAACCCATCAACATAGCAATCTGTTGGGTGCAATAGTCTTTTAGCAGTAAGAATATGAACAAGGGAACCAAAGAGAACATCTTACCTTGATAAGGAAAGACTGCTAAGCATATAGTTACCAAGAGAACGTGGATCATTTTGGAGGCTGGATTTGGCTGGAAGACAGGCAATCTCTTCCTGCTTTCAAGCCAACCTGAGCTCTTCCTCTGTTGATGATGAGAAGCAAGGAATGAGTCCTTCAGCTTCATTCATGCCCTCATATGAGAAGGTGTTTGCTAAAGGATTTGCACAATTCTAAGTTGTAACAATACTACTGGAGGGCAGTTTTCCAGCTGGCTTAGCGCATGTCACTCCAAAAATGACAGCTGGGAGGGTTCGTTCAAGGCATCTCCAAAGGAAAAGCCCAAAGGAGGCTATTAATTGGTCATAGCAGACCTTTCCCTGGCTCACCTGTTAATACAACTGAATTTGGGGCCTCTGGTGCATGGGGTCTTAAATGCCAAGAGTTGGTTTTTACAGTATTTTGTGAGTAAGAGGCACTTTGGGAGCAATCTAGCATCCCTTCAATATTGCTAGCATTGACTGAATCCATTCAATGCATTTGCCTAAGGGATCCCTGATTTCACTACAGGCGGAAAAAAACCCTCTGTGCCATAATAGATTCTCACTTTGTAGAGAAGTCAAGAACGTTTGTTGTCTCTTCATATAGTTCCTTTAACAGCTCCTCCATTTTTTGAAACAAGAGATTTATATGTTAATGCAAATGTCAGCTGCGATAATATGCATCCAAAGTGAGGACAATTAATCAGTGGAATGGCTTGCTTTCAGAAGTTGTGGGTGCTCCAAGATGGGACGTTTTTCAGAAGAAATTGGACAACCCTTTGTCTGGAATGGTATAGGATCTCCTGTTTGAGCAGGGACTGGACTAGAAGATCTCCATGATCCCTGTTATCCTATAAAGGCCATTTGAAGGGGAACTCTGAGATGAATCACAGAGCAGAGTGAATCATTTCAATTGCCTTAAGAGGACCCACTTTTCCCTTATAATCTTTCCTTCTGTCTCCACCTGGGATAGACATCTATGAAGGCACAATAAAGACGAGTGTGGAAAAAGGGGCACTACCCACCCTATTGTTAAAGGCAAGGCTGAAATCTTTGGTGAATGAAAAGGAAAAGAGGAAAATCTACTTTTGATTATTCTGTTTAGCAATCTTGGGGGGAAAAAGCCCACAGTAGAAACAGCAGCTTCATTCCAAGAGGACAAAGGGCAAAATAACCATCTCTTCATTTAGAAACAAGGAAGTATGTGAGCCTTTGAAACTCTCTTCGGTGGCCATCTTGTTTTCTTTCAGAACTTCTGCCCTTATCATCACCAGCTTTCCTCTCTTGAAATAACTCCAGACTAATTAAAATGGCAAAGCCTGTTTGTTAGGGGAAGAGCGATAAAAGTAGCACCAAGCCACATCTGATGCTGAATTTAGCTTTTTCTTTTCAAGGGGAGGATAAATGATAAACCAGTATTACAATGTATGCATGCTTCTGAAAATGTATACCTATTTTAATGCTTTTCTCATCTCAGTTTGATGTCGAGTCTGATCTAAAATTTCTAAATTCTTCTCTCATAATATGAAAAAGGAGGAAAATCTTTCCCTTTCAGTCACCTTAAAAATGAGTGACCCAATCAGCTTCTTTGAAGTGAGAACATGGTTCTGTTTTGAAGTGATCAAAGAATGAAGAGTTTAAAAAATACAATATTCCAGGATTGAGGTCATGTCTGAGGGACGCGGCTTTGGAATGGTGAGGGGGGAGGTTGGGGGGCGAGGAGAGGGTGGTGTGATCAGTACAGTCAGTGGGAGGGGCAGATACGGCGGGAGCAGAGGACCATATCGGGTTTCAGGAGCACGCACACGCTGCTTACAAGCTTGTGGGTGCTCCGGTCCTCAGGACTCTACTCGGTCCCCAGGGATCTTAGACCCTCCGGCCCGGGATCACCGGCTGATGTTATGCAATGCCAGGTCCGTGGTAAATAAGGCCCCCCTCATTCAAGAACTTATTCAAGAGGGGGGTGCGGACCTGGCAGGGATCACCGAGACCT